CACACACACACACACACACACACACACACACACACACACACACACACACACACACACACACACACACACACACTTACTCCATTAAACAAAAGCACAATCTTCACAATGAAGCCAAACATTGGACTATTATATTACGGTATATTATATTATACTGTGGCAGATAAAATGGTCAATTTCAAAGAAAGTTATGAGTTATAAAACAAGGAATCATTTTTAAGACATTCCTGTTAGAAAGAGTTTACAGGAAATATACAATGTTAGTATTTACATTTCACTGCAGGCTTCCCTTACTCATTTTKCCAGCATGGCTCCCAAATAATAGTATTTTTTTTTTCGATTATTCGAATTATAACTTGAAAATAAAAATAGGCCCAACACAATACAAACAAAATGTAGATTTACTGTTCTGCTGTTCAACATTTTGAAGCATAAAAGTTCCGTCAGAGCTCCCAGTGTGAACACTGAAACCAGTTATGTAAGAGCGGGTCTCTGTGGTTCTTCCCTCCGTGCTGAGTTAACTGAACGTCGGCTGCTCCTCCTGCTGCTGTGGGAGGATCCTGCTGGAGCCTCAGCCAGTGGCTGGGAGCRCAGGGAGGAGCCACACACCGTTGCCAGAGAAAATATCCAAATAACAGCGAGGCTCGTCCTCATGAAGCTGACAGACATCAAGACACCTGCAGGAGGAGCCAGCTGCTTCCGGTCAAGCCTTTTAGAAATAAAAGCTTTTTATGAAGGCACGTTTTGGTGCAAACCTAAAATTTACAAGACAGTTCAGATTGTTGCTGGGTGGGTCCTCTGGGATAAACCTTACTTTATCTATTTTAAACGTGGCAGTTATTTATATATTTTTACACCATGCAGTACTATGCACAAAAGCCTAAGTCATCATCKCTCTGTTTATATTTTGATTACAAGCAGAAAGACTTTCTTGTAATCCTCCAAACTGGTCATAGCTATAGCAGACTTTCTGCTTTTTCAACCTTTTTTTCCAGTTCTTTTTTTCAAAGAAATGTTTTTTGTTTGGTAAGTCATTTAAAAATAATCTGAGTCACTGAGCCATTAAATAGATCATAAACTAAAGAAACCAACMTGTGTTGTGACACATTATGGACAAGTTATCAAAGGGCCTGTTTTAAATTTGACCTTTAAGGGTTTTSTTATTAGCAGAGACATAATTTTATTATTTTTTGTTCACTCTATATTTAAAAAATATAAAAAAATTGAAGCATAAAATAATTTTGTATTTAGTTAAAAACTTGTCTTCAACTGAAAGTTGACGTTTTTCTTTTCTCTTTCTAACAAATGTTGAATTGTCTATTTATCTTATTTCCATTAAACATGACTTTAACTTTCTGTTAATCTACTACCTGCCACTTGTTCTTTTGTCCTCTGCAAATTCACATTTGTTATTTTATGGCCACAATATGATGTCATTGTCAAACACAAAGACTACAAAATCTGTTGAATTATGGATTAACTAACAGTTTGTGTCTAAACAAGCAGCACAGAAGCTATATAGCTGGGCAAAAAAGTAGGAAAAGGCTAAATTAGCAAATCATTGCTAAAAGCTAAATGTAGCTAAAGCAT